TTGCTTGTTTAGGTCTTCTGCCCATTTTTGGATTGGGTTGTTTATTTTTTTCTTATTGAGTCGTATGAGCTGCTTATATATTCTGGAGATCAAGCCTTTGTCGGTTTCACTTGCAAAACTTTTCTCCCATTCTGTAGGTTTTCTTCTTGTTTTACTTCTGGTCTCCTTTGCTGTGCAGAAGCTTGTAAGTAAGAAGGCAACCTTTTATTTGATCTCAGCTGAGAAGATAAGAGTAGGGCGCCTCAAGTTTTTCTCCAGTCTGCATGTGTCTGCAAATGACTGCAAAAGCTCTGTAAGTAAGGGTTTTGAGGGTTACCAGTAAATTTCAGTGAGTGGGGACACTCACAAATGCAGGATCTGCAACTAATGACATGACTATATATATAATCGCATTATTACACTGTATATGCTTTTGCAGTTTGCTTTTTTTTTCAATATGATTATTGCGAGTAACATCCACGCTCATACATGTAGATCTCATCTGTCTATGTCACTACTAAATCATACTCAATTATATAAATACACCACAGTGTGTTTATCCATTTGCCTCTTGATGGAGATTTCGATACTTCTAAAAGAAAGATATTTTGGTCATTTACAATCTTAGAAACCTTTATCTCCTTGGCATCTTTTTTCTGGAACCTATTTGGAAGATGTGTTCCAAGAAGATGAGGGAGTAATTCAAGGAAATGGAACACACAGAATCCAGTAAGCAAGGGATCTCATGCATGGAGAGAAGGGAAGGGAGTCCCAGGAATGGTGAAGGAAGCTGTGCAGGTCATAGCAGGAGGGCAGAGGACTCCTAGGAGATTGCTCCAAGAAAAGCAAGTGAATTTATACATTTTTAGCTTAAACTGGGGAAAGACACGTAGAAAACTAAATATGGGCTTATTAACTCCCATAAAAATGAAAAGTTGTACAAGAAATAAAATGTAATCGTACACTAGTGAATCAGAAATGAGAAATGTTTATTTCTGTTGTTCTGAGAATTCAAACCTCAAGTAATTATTTTGGAAAGGATGATATAATCATAGTGGCAGGCTGAGAGGGTGATGAGTCTGTGTAGGTGGGAAGGGAGAAGATATAAAAGGTAGGTGTTCAACAGGTAACGCCTGAACGTGGAAGAGCCCCAGCACGAGTGTGCTGTGGGAAATATGTAGGTGCATCCCGTGCAGCAGCAGGTGCAGAGGCAGAAGCGGTGCCTCTGAGCAGTGGGCTCTTTGAGATGAGGAGCAGCACGGCAGGGCCCTCCTCCCTGCTCTTTTGCATCCTGTGGTGCTGTTTCAACCTCTGTACATGCACTGTCTTGTTAAAACACAAAAGCAACACATCCTACAATTTAATTTTAACAGATTCCTCTTGAAAATCCATCTTCTTCAGGTGGTTCCCATTTACTCCCATTGAGCTTCTTCTGGCTTCTCATTGCTTCTATATGCAAGTGTCCAGGGTCCAGGAGGAGATGTGAAGACATCCTCTAGTGGATGTGGACTCTGTAGACTCTTCTCTTGTCTTGGGTGCCAAGCAGAGGTGCCTGTCACCTCTTTTAATTAGAACCACCTTTGCCGTGGCAACCACCGTCAGATGTTATGGCTGTGGACTGGGGTCCTGGTATGCCTGAAGGTGATGTGATTTGTGTCCAGTTACAGTGAAATTTCTCTTGTCCAGATGAAAGGCAGTAGATAATACAATGTCTCTGCTCTTGAGTTTTTGATTGTTGAAGCACTAATATGTTTTAATTCTAGAGGTCCATTTACTGTTCACTCACTGCTCTGCCCCTTGGAGGGGGTAGGGATGGCGAGCAGAGATGACCCGTCTTGTAATTTCTGCTGTCCTGCAGCCTGATCCTGGTGCTGACCCTGTGGGACAAGCCCGGTGACCAGGAAAGAGGCTGTGGGTGATGAAGTCTGTCAGCCCAGCTCCCTCATGAGCCTGCTGACCGCATCAGCTCATCCACACGTGCCCAGAAAGTGCTTTAACAGTGACCTGTCCATTCTCAATCCACTGTAACATAGCTGAGTGACTTTGAATAAGTCAATTAACCTTTCTGGGCTTCAGTTCCCACCTCTGTATTGGCTGATGTAATTTCAAAAAACCCAAGAAGCAAAAAGTGAAACAGCAAAGATGAGAAAGGCCATCTGCCACAGCCTCCAGCTGTCAGGCAGGACCCACCTTACACAGCTTGGTTCTTGTGTCTTACCCCATCATGGAGCGGTGGCCTGATGGCAGAGAAAGACTCAGGAGCATCGAATATGCTTTTCAAGCCAGATAGGTCTCAAGGCACTGAATCAACTCCTCCACGTAAAGTTAGCCAATTCAATTAATATTTTCAAATAATAAGTTTTTATTTAGTTGATTTTCTTTATTGTTTATTCTCTGATTTCTTTCTTCTGTCTGTCTGTCTGTCTGTCTATTTATCTATCTATCTAAAGACAGGAAGGAAGAGGGCAGGGAACAGCCATTCAGGGAATAACAGAATAATTAACACCAGGATGGTGGAAGATTCAACCCCCAGTAGGTTATGAGGCTCAAGATGGCAGAGATTTGACCTCTAGTAGACCTTGAGCTTCATTATACGCCCACGGTAATGTATTAGCATGGTGAATAACATGCCCACAGGTGCCATGACAGCTCCAAGACTAACCATAAAAGGTCAAAGAGTGGGAAATGGCCAACTTCCTGGGAACCTCAGCCCCTTCCCTAGGGTAGTTAGAATGGTCCTTCCACTTATTAGCATATGAAGCTACCAAGCCCATAAAAACTGGCAATACCATGTCTCCTGGCCGCCTCTCTGACTCTCTCCTCTTTGGAGATGGCCCACCCTTTGTCTGTGGAGTGTGTACCTACTTTTACTTTAACCTGAGCAACCAACCCCACACCTCATGGCCTTTCTCTTGAGTTTTGAAACAGCCTATACTTTATACAGTATGTATCTCTCTAAATAAATCTACCTTTACTCAACTGTGGCTCGCTCTTGAATTCTTTCCTGTATGAAGCCAAGGACTCACACTTGGTAGGGCACGTCCCAGGGACCCAACCAAGACCTGAGACACAGCCCTCCTCTTGCCCCACATCCATTTTTCCTGCATCACATCTATCTCTCTCTTCTATTTCCTCCCTTCTGCTTGCTTTGAATTTAGTTTACTCCTCTTTTTTTAGTTTCTTAAACTTAAAGATTAGGTTTGAACCTTTATAACATTGGAGTTTAGACTTCTAAGTTTCCTTCTGACATTGCCTTAGGTGCATTTTAAAAGGTTTATTATGTGGTGTTTTTGTTTTTATTATCTCAAAATATCTTCTAATTTCCCTTTCTGATTTATCCCTTGATCCACTGGACAGAGGAGTCTTTTGCTTAATTTCTACCTATATATTAACCTCTCAAATAGCCTTTGTCGACTGATTTCTTATTTAATTGCACTGTGGTTGAAAAACATACTTCATCTGACTTCAATCCTTTTAAATGCATTGAGGCTTATTTTTAAATTGTCTATCTGTAGAATGTTTCACAGGTGCTTGAACAGAGCATGTAGTTTGCTGTTCTTGAGCGGCATGTTCCGGAGTTGCCTGTTAGGTCTGGTCTGATTTGTAGTGTTGTACAAGTCTTGTGTAGCCTTGCTGATCTTCTGCTTGGCTGTTTTATCCACTGCTGAAAGGAATATTGACGTCTCCACCACTGCGTTATAAAAGAGGCCATAGCATATAATATTCTCTTCTAGAATGCATTTAATAACTAGGAGAAAATAAAAACATAATGTCTTTACATTAAGCAGTCAAGTATAACTAGCGCCTTCAAATACAGAGGAATAGTTTTTTTTCTTTTTTTCCCAAATGATTGCGATATTATCGACATATAATATGTTTAAGTGAAAGTTATAAAATGTAATGATTTCATATATGCATATATAGTGAAATGATTACCACATTAAGATTGACACCTCCATCCCTTTATGTAATTATCATTTTCTGTGATGACATTTAAAATCTACACTTTCAACAGCTTTCAGTTATATAATACATATTGCTAATTATATACAAAAGGAAACTATTGCACTTTTTATTATGTGCATTCTATTACCAGAACTTATTCACATTATAGCTAGATGTTAGTACCCTTTGATCAGCATCTCCACATTTTCTCCCCCTGAGCCCCTGACAACTCCATTTCTGTGAGTGTAGACATCTTAGACTGTACATATAAGTGAGAACACACAGTATTGTTACAAAAGGCAGGATTTCCTACTTTTTATAGCTGAATAATATTCAAATATGTCTCTCTATATAGACACACTCTACATTTTGTTTATCCATTCATTTGTCAATGGGTAAGCAGGATATTTTTATCGCTTGCCTATTGTGAAAAATTCTGGAATAAACACAAGGGTGAAGCTATCTTTTTAAGAAATGTTTTTATTTTCTTTGGCTATATACCCAAAAGGAGGATGGCTGAATCATATGGTAGTTCTATTTTAATTTTTTTGAGGACTCTCCATACTGTTTTCCATAGTGGCCGCACCAATTTACATCCCCATCCTCAGTGCACAGTAGCTTCCTTTTGTCCACATCCTTGCTGATAACTTGTCTTGCCTTTTTGGTGAGTCATCTTACCAGGTGGAAGGTGATTTTGCATCGTGGTTGTGATTTGCATTTCCCTTGTCATTAGTGGTGTTGATCATCTCTTCATGTACCTGTTGATCACCTGTCTGTCTTCTTTGGAAAAATGCTTATTTAAGGCTTCTGCCCATTTTAAAATCAGATTGTTGGATTTTTTTTTTTGGTCATTAAGTTGTATGACTTCTTTGTATATTTTGGCTATTAGCCCCTTATCAGACAGACGGTTTGCAAATATTTTCTCAAATTCCACAGGTGGCCTTTTAAATTTTGCTTATTGTTTGCTAGCATTACTGTTATATATAATCTGATAAAATGTTGCAGGATGGGGAGTAAATGCCAGAGAGAAAATGATGCTGACAATTTTAAAGGAAGTTTCATAGGGATATTATTCAAGCTTATATTTGTATCATGGCCAAATAAAATTATTGATGAAAAATTGATCACATAGAATTTTTTTTTCACATGTTAAGCTCTGTTGGAAACAAAATTCACCAAAATGTATTTGTTAAGATAACAGAATCCTCCCAGATATTTCTGGCCCAGTGCCATTAGAGGAATCCTTTTACAGTGAAATGGTAAAAGCCTTTGTATTGGTAATGCTGTTGCTGAATGCAAGTTCATATGCCTGACACACTGAATCCAAAAGTCCAAAGAAATTGAAACACTGAAGTTTGGAGGAGAGAAAGCTTTATTGCAGAGCCGAGCAAAGGAAATGGGGTGGCTCATGCCCAAGCAAACCCTGAACTCCCTGAAGGGTTTCAGCAAAATATTTTAAAGGCCAGATGAGGTGGGTGGGTTGCACAATCTGTAATCAGCTCATTAACAATTCTCTGATTGGGTGATGCTGAAGTAACAAGCAGTCAACGCCATCAACCCCTAGGCACTAGAAGGTCTGGGCCAAGTGCTCTGGATCATCAAGTAGTTAATTTCTTCCGGTGGTTTTTAGCATCTGAAACACTCAGCAGCTGCAGCAGAGGATATTGGGGAGGGGTCTGTCCTGGGAAGGCCCCAAGGGTCCTGCTCGGTTACAATACTGAGGGTGAGGACAGTGCCCTGGGAAAGGCTGAGAGGTGGCCAGCTGCATATTTTACACTGGCTTTTGCCAGGAGCTGCTGTGATGAGAAGCTGCTGTGCTCTGACGCTCCCATTTCCCTTCATCCTTACCGCTGCATCCACAGACCTTGCCTGCATTCACTCATTCCTTCCTTCACTCACTCATTCATCAAACCAAAAGCCTCCTCTGTATGAGGCTAGTATTAAGACTGGGCATGGATTTCCCCTGTCATCAGGGAGTGCCCAGTGGGGAAAGGGAGGCAGGGATGACGCCCCTAAAGTGTAGAGTCTGTTACCTCAGAGAACAGGAGAGGGGCAGCCAGGCTCCCAAGAGCAGTCTGGATGGTGGGGCAGAGAGAGGAAGCGACCAGAGGAGGGCACAAATGGCCCCTGATGGGACAGGAGTGGACAGACTGGGGCAGGCCCCTGAGCAGGGCTCAGCCCTCCTGTTCCAGGAAGGACATGGTAGGACCCAGGAGCGATGTGTCTGGGTCAGCCCCTCTTCCTGGCTGGGTGTGGCTGGGCATCTCTGCGCTCTGGGTTTCCCGTCTGTAAAACAGGAAGCGGGATATTACCTTCTCCTAGGGTGGGGGGAGGGGCGGTAAGGTCGCCTATTGCTGTCACCATCCTTAGGCCAGCAGTCAGGGAGGAATTTTAAGCAGGTGAGCGAAGTGATCATTTTTGTGTATCAGAAAGCTCTGTCTGGCAGCAGCGAGCAGATGGGTCTGAGCTGAAGAGACTGATCCCCAGGAGACTAATCAGAGGCTGTCACCGCCTGGGGACAGAAGGACTGGGCAGGCATGAAGGTCCCGCGGAGTAAGGGGAGGGGAGGGGCTGGAGGGGAGAGAGCGGTCGGAGCAGAACTGGTGCAGGTAATGTTGGGAGCGACACGACGGAGCGAGGAGACCCTCAGGTGCAGCGTCTCGGCTGCAGGGGTGAGCGGGACGTGGGTGCCGGGCTCCCAGAAGCACCCAGCCCGGCGGCGGGTGGGGCGGGAAGCAGCCGAGCAGCCACCTCCGTCCTCCCTTCTCCGCATCCTCGCGCAGCCACGCCCTCCCCGCTCGCACCCCGAGGGCTGGCGCTCCGGGCTGTGCTGGGAGGGAAGCGGGAAGGACGCTGCCGGCCAGGGCGTGAGCTCGGTCCTGCGGGGCTTGAGGTGGCTCTGTGCGCCAGCCAGGGATACAGGCTCCAAACAGGGCTCCCCAGTGAAGCCCTCGTGTCCGCTAGCCACCTGGGACCTCCTAAGTCAGTCTCTAGGGATGGAGTATTTTGTTTTGTGAAAGCTCACAGCCGGTCCTACGCAATGATGTAAGACTAACCCAGATTTCACTGTCATCTGATAAAACACATGTCAGAGGACATGCGCGGTCTTCTGGACCTGGTTACTTTGTGTGAAGGCTCCAGCTTCGTGGAATGTGTCCGTGGAGAAACCAGTAAAGACACCGTGTCCCTTGATTGTAAGGGTCCCCTGTGGTACCATGTGGGGATGCTCTTTAAGCCTTCCTAGCTTATGTCATCTTCACAGTAACTGACAGTTTGATGGCAGGAGTCCTGCTTCTCAGTAAAGAAACTGAGGCTCAGATGGTGTGAATTTTTTGCTAATTTTATTTTTTATTGAAGTATAATCAGTTTGCAATGTTATGTCAATTTCTGGTGTACTGCATAATGTTGTGGTTATACATGTACATACATATATTTGTTTTCACATTCTTTTTCATTATATGTTACTGCAAGATACTGAATATACAGTATCTTGTGCTATACAGTATAAATTTGTTGTTTATCTATTTTATATATAGTAGTTGTTATCTGCAAATCTTGAACTCCCAATTTATCCTTTCCCAACCCTACTCCCTCCGGTAACCATAAGTTTATTTTCTGTCATATCACTTGTATGTGGAATCTAAAAAGAAAAATGACACAAATGAACTTATTTACAAAACAGAAACAGACTCACAGAGATAGAAAACAAACTTGTGAATCATTTTTCTGAAATGAGATACAAATTTAGCTCTGTGCAGCCCTACTCCTGTGTTCTTTCTACTAAAGCGTGCTGCCTGCCCTACAACGCCAGGTGCCAGGAAAGCTGAGACACGTGGTCCCTTCTCCTTAGAAGCTGTCACCTGATGCACAAAGACAGGCCTGACATCCCTGGAACGATAGGGGACAATTAAGTGTGAATCAATGCGGTATTGATTCTTGAGTGCAATGGGACCAACACAGCATATAAACCTGTTTGTAGGGATGATCTGTCAGGATGTTTTGTGCTAATCTAAGTGGCTTGGTGCGCCGTCCACTTGGTAAAATGAGCCGGAAAGCTTCCTGAGCTTGACAAGCCATCTCCCCGCACTGACGCTGGTGGTGATGAATGAGAAATAGAGGGCATGTTCCCCTGTCTTGTCCCCAGGTGAAGACGTGTGTTGAAGGGGGTCGGTCATGCCAGCTTGCAGCGCCCTCCCACTTGCTCTCAGAAAACCAAGGGAGGCCCATGACAGCTGCAAAGCAGGCTGGCTGCTGGGATCATGTGGGACCGACAGCTCCAGTCCATGCTGGGGTTATTTCGTAGAGGACATCACAATTCGATGGTACTTGAGGCGGAAGAGGAAAGGTCATTTGCCATATGTGCACTGCTGGTTTTGAAGCATTTCTCCCAAATACAATTCTAGAATTTGACACAAGGGCCAAGATGGCCATTGAGAGGCATGTCAAAGGAAAAAGAGGAAGAGAGAAGACAATTGGGTTCAAATCAAATCACACACTTGCCTCGCCAGGAAGAACTGCCCCTCCCTCTCTTGTGTCCTGGAACATAAAGGCTTTTTCCCCTTTCTTCGCAGCTGCAAGATTGCAAGATTCACTTGCTGGCATCAGGACCTAAGTAAGGGCTGTGTTTAATTACAAAGTGTCTGGCACTCCTTTATTTTGAACTCTTACACAGTTCTCAATTGAGGGGAATTTCTTATGAAAGCGTCTTTACTTAGGCAATAGCCTTTTTAAACTTTTCCTGGTGGATCTCAAATAAAACCAATAAATACTATCCTTGAAACACAGAAGTGAAAAAAAAAACTTCTTTTTTTTTCACCTTAACTCCAAGCAAACTTGTGTCTAAGGCTACCAAAATATTTTGATGAAAAATGGAAAGGTTAGGCAAAATTTCAGAGTTCCCCAAGCTACCGTGTCACAAGAGGACTGAACAGTTGTGATGCTTGTTATCTGGGGCAGTCCCAATGGTGGTGATCCTTTTCTTTCACTACCTGTCTTCTCTTGAGACCCAGGGGTCCCTGAAGGGCACTCAGCACCCCTCACTGGCAGCAGTCCCTCGGTGTGGCCGAGCACCTGACAGCTCTAACATCGGCCACTGCCCCTCCTTTATCCTTTCACTCAACTCTATTTTTGACTCTGTGTCAGAAGGTACCATTATGACAGTCAATTTGATGTTCTGTGGGGCACTTTGCTTCCATTTTTTTCACCTCCATTAGTCTTGTCTCCTCAGTGAGCCTGTAAATTGATCAGGGACAGGATTCAGTGCATCATATGGGGAGATACTAGCAGAAGGTACCACTGTCCATGGTCCTGACTACTCAGTGTGCCCACTGTGGTCTCCCAAAACAGGGCACAGTACTTGTGTGGTCTACTGGGGCAGATTGAGAAGATGACAGACTCATGTCCTGGAGAACTATCTTCCCCAAGTCAGAATTCAGGCTCATTTTATATTAAAAAGGGGAAAGGGAAAGGGTTGTTGCAAACTTCTTGGTGACAGAATCCTTTGTTTTTGTAGCTGTCTACCTAGGTCAGGTAATGGTGTCCCTGCAAACCTCCAACAAAACAAATGTTATTTTCTATTCTGCAGCTTTTTAATCTTTATTTGAATGGGAAAGTTCTACCCTTAAAGGTCGGAGCCTTGAGAATGGGCTCTCCTGCATATTTCAGGCTCTAGGCAACATTCTTTTATAAAAGGAGCAGAACCAGCAAGACTAAGCCTAGAAAACAAGGTACAGGGTTACAGCCAAAGGAACAGATCTAATATGGAGTCCGATTTGTTCTTCCTTCTGTGCTTACCTCCGAGGCCAGCTCCTGGGTCCTGGCCTGTGTCTTCCCCTCAGGCTTCAGGAGAGGAGAAGGGCACCAGGGACCCTGGGGGGTGGGGGGGTGGAGCCTGCAGTTACGACCACTGGTCAGCACCCTGAGCTGGGCCCTTCAAAGACCACTGAGGTGCTGCCACCCTGGTGAGTGCTGTGAACTTGGGCAACAGAATTGGTGAGCTGAGAAGAGCTGCAGGGCACTAGGAAGGGTTACTGGGGCCACAGGACACGGGATCCCTTTATTCTTGGGGCCAGTGGAAGGCCCACTGGTGCCTGGAACACCCAGGGTTCTGCTTCAGATCGTAAAAAGCTTTCTTAGTTTGTGAAGTGGGCTGTACACAAATGTTACCATTCTATGGAAAAGGTTGGGAGGCACTGGTTTACCTAACAGCCTCCTCCATGTGGGAAATCCTCTTGGAGTCGCCCTGAGAGGCCCCCCTCCCCTCTGGTTGACAGCTGTCTGTGGGGTAGAACATTACTGTTCCTGAGAAACAACTTCACACTGAGCTCGTGGTGTTCTCCTGATATCCTTTCCATTAATCCGCATTTCTCTGGAAACAGCTCAAATGGGCCTAGTTCTTCTTATAAAAGTTTCAAGTATGCAAAAGATTCTATCTCAAAAACAAGCTGTTTGAGAGATTACAATAAGTAAGGGGGTAATTATAGAGTGACTATTGTAGGATTTTGGTTGAAGACATCAGTATGAGCTCAAGTTTAGCTTACTATAGATAGTTATGTATAAAATACGTATAAATATGTGTGGTAAACAGGTTAGTACACACACCCAAATTTCTTTGCTCTGTCAGCTGAAAGGGCCTAGAAGCAATGACACCCCAGTAGCAGTGAGCACACTTAGTCCCAGATCTTTGTTTCTAACACCACCCTCCACCAGAAGGAACCAGGCCTCCTTTGAGAAATGGCTGATTCTAGGACTAGGGAAAAATACACAAGATGAATGTGGAGTGTCTTGTAGTGCCCAAAAGTAAGGATGTGCAAAAAAAAAGAAAAAAGTTGACAGTGTATATCAAAGAGAAACAGGAGCCAGCTTAAAACAGTTCCCAATGGCCAAAGCTGGACAATGGAGTGATAAACAAATAATGCAGTAATGGTTCATTCCCAAGATATAAAGTAATTATTCCTGAGTCTATACTGATATAAATAAGGAAGGAAGGAATGAAGGAAGGAAGGAAGGAAGGAAGGAAGGAAGGAAGGAAGGAAGGAAGGAAGGAAGGAAGAAGGAAAGAAGGGAAGAAAGAAGGAAAGATTCTGAAACAAATATCCCATGCAGAATTCCAAATAATTTATGAGATTTGGGACACGTCTCCACCCTTAAGTGTGGGCTGCACATGGTGAATTCTTTCTAAAGAGTACAGCACAGAAAAGGAGACAGAGAACTTTACAGTGGAGGAACCTGATGAACACCACCTCGGCCAGTTGGTCAAAGTCAACATCAATGATGTCATGTTCCCATGGTGTGATAAAAGTAGCACTTAACCTCTGTGGTCTTCCTCCCTCCTCCCCCAAAACCCGTAATCCTAGAACCCCAATCTAATCAGGCAAGAAACATCAGACAAATCCCAGGTGAAGGACATGTTACAAAATACCTGACCTGCACTCCTCAAAACTGTCAAGGTCATCAAAAAGAAGGAAAGTCTAAGAAACTGTCACAGTCAAGAGGCACCTAAGGAGACATGATGATTCAGTGTAATGTGGGATCCTGCATGAGATCCTGGGACAGGAAAAGGACAGACATTAGGTTCACACCAAGGAAATGTGAATAAAGTATGGGCTTTAGTCAATAATGAAGTAGTTAGCAATACTGGTTCATTAGCTGCGACCAATGTACCACATGAAAGTAAGAGGTTAACAATCGGGGAAGCTAGGTGTGGGGACTCCATGCTACCTCACAGTTTTCTGTAAATCTAAGACTATTCTAGAATAAAAAGCTTGTTAAAAAATAAAGATGAATTCCTATATGGATTTTTAGTTTCCTTTACACATTATTTTTTCATAAGCTCTCCTATACAAACACATTTTTATTATATGATGTCACATCATATTTGCTGTGTTTTTAAATACAGACTTTTCCCTTCATTTATGTCTCTTTTCCCCCCTGAGAAGGAGGAAGTGTCTGCTCCGTCTCATGACTATGCTTTTTATTTTATTGCTCAGTTTGTTCCAGCTCTGTCTGTTGGGGATGCTTTCAGTTGGCTACTGTATTTCTTACTTCTCTGTGCAAGTGTGTGTATGTACGTGCGTGTGTTGAGCACTTCCTTACTCTTTGGATTTACACAATACACTCAAGGCTCATCTTACATGTTCCTTGCCTCAAATCTAGACTCAGCCACTTTTCCAAGGAGCCCTTGTTCTTTTTTTATTGGAGTATGGTATTAGAAACCAAAGTCTGTGCACCACGTGTGCTCCTCACCTTTGGGTTAACGCTGCTTCTATATTAAGTAAAACTTGAGTTCATACTGATGTCTCCAACTCTACTGTAGTATCATATTATCATTCTAGCCTTCCCACCCTGCTTATCCATAGTGCCCTACTGCAGCCATAAGGAAACTGGTTACCACTGTTTTTCACTCATTTACTTATTTATGCAATATTGGTATACAAGCATAATGGTTTCAGAATTGTCAACCCATATCTCTCTGAGACACAACTTTACCAACTAGAGTACAACACTTATATACAGTTCCTTTTGTCTTTAGTCTTACAGTCTGCACTTATTTAAAAAGTTAATTAGATCAACACACTTTCTTCCTACCCCTTAAGTAAAGTCGTGTCATACATTTACAGTGAAGTAAGACTAATTTGACATGGTCTATATTTTAACCTGGGAAACTCTGACTTTTAATTAAAATTTTATTTGTAATAATGAGGTAACACTTTGTGTTTTAAAGTTGTATGAGTGTTAACTTACACATAGGGTTACCTCTAAAGTATCATATGGAAAAGTTTCATAACCCTCCAAAAAAAAATCTCTTTTATCTAATCATCTGTTCCCATTCTCCACACCTCTGGCACCCACTGATCTATTTTAAAGTGCTATAATTTTGTCTTTTCCAGGATGTCATATAAATGAAATCATACAGAAGTAGCCCTTTTAGATTTTTCTTCCTTTGTAATGTAGACATTTGAAGCTACAACTTTTCCTCAGAGCACTTCTTTGGCAGCATTCCCCAAATAGAGACATGTTTTATTTATACTGTGACTCAGTATTGAAGTCCTTTCTAATTTCTCTTGGGAATTTTTCTTTTTTCTATGGTTATATAGAAGTGTGGTGTTTAATTTCCAATGTTGGAGCTTTTTCTTAATATCTACATGTCATTGATTTTGAATGTAATTCCATTGTGTCAGAGAATATACCTCTGTGCTTACACTATAACATTATTATATTATATATTAATATTGTTATGTATATTTATTTTAAACCCTAACATATAATCTTTCCTGGCACATGTTCTATAAGTACTTGGAAAGAAAGTGTGCTCTGCAGTATCCTACCTACACCTCAGTGAAATTTCTAGAGGTCCAGGAGTCTGGAGAACATCAAGATACCCCTTCCAACTTAAAAGAAAGTTATTTTTAGTTTAAAAATCCCATGAACATCTAACAAAATCTATCTTACTTTTGGCATTGTCTTCAGGGAAACTATAAAGCAAATCTGTGGCCTACCTTGGGCATTTCTAGAACCATGGACTTGACTTTGAGCATGGTTTTCTTCCCCCAGCCTCTTCTTATTTTTTTTAAAATTTTTTCCTTCTAGATGGGAAATGAAATTATAGAACATACATTCTTTTGGTGTTCTGATCACCAATTTCAATATATGGAGGCAGGATGGTCACCTACACAGCACCAAAAAGGTTTGGAACCAGTTGGATGCTGTACAGCTTAGCTCAGTTTTGACACTGTCTACCTGGAGATAGCACAGATTCCACACGGTAAGCACTCAGTCCCACAAAACTGCCACTATCCCCCCCCCCCCCCTCCAACTTAAGATGCCTGTCTCAAGCCCAGATTATCACTGTGTTTCTGATTGACCAGGTATAGATTAGAGGTTCCCACAACCTCCTTCTTGGACTTCAGACACCAGTCACAAGTCTAGTTTGTTGTCTGTATTTTTGACCAACTGCCTGTAAATCAGAGGTTCCCAAGACCCTCTCCTTGGGTTTGATGAATTTTCTAGAGCAGCTCATAGAACTCAGAGAAACATTTTACTTAGTAAATTACTGATTTATTATAAAAAAGGATACAATTCAGGAACAGCAAGATGAAAGAGATACAAAGAGCAAGGCACTGGGGAAGGGCATGAGCTTCCTTGCCTTCTCCAGGTGCACCATCCTCTCCACATTTCCATGAGTTTCCCAATGTGGAAGCTCTCCAAACCCTGGCCCTTTGGGCTTTTATGGAGGCTTCATTATATGGACAACATTAAATAATTGGCAATTGGTTCTAACGTCCAGCTCCTCTCCCCTCCTGGGAGGCCAGCGGGATGGGATTGAACGTTCCAACTCTCTCAACACAAAGTTGGTTCCTCTGGTGACCAGCCCCCACCCTGAGTTACCTCAGGGCTTCCCAGAAGCCACGGCCTTAACATAACAAAACGCATCTCTATCACCCTCATTGCTTAAGATAGTCCGAGGGTTTTAGGAGTTCTGTGCCAGAAGCAGAGACTAAAGCCAAAGATATATCTTATTATAAATCACGATATCCCATGTTATTTTTTGAAATCATATCAAATACTTTCCAGTACAAAGTATAAAGCTTTGTATTTAAATAAAACTAGTGTTGTATAAAAACTCTTTGGAGGGAGGAACTTCTATTTCCTGGAAGATTGAGTAGACAGACATTTCCTAAATCCTCCCTTTGAGTGCAGTGAAAAACTCAGAATGTTATATATTTTGAAAATAAGAGACTCTGAGAGGTGGAGAGAAGACAGCACATCAAATAGGGACCTTGGGACTCATGGAAAACATAAAGATGGATTCCCTGAATTTTATTTTACCTCATACACCCTGTGAGTCCAATTGGCGCCCTTAAAGTCCGATAACCCCCACTCCTGGGCTCCCAGATGTCCACCTGCAATCCCTCAAAAGATAGAGTACATTCTTTTCTGATGTGTGCTTGCCCCAGCAGAACTAACAGCCTTAGGAAGTGGTTCCTCTCACACTAGCTCAGACTGCTTTGTTTCAACCCATATCTCCTCATCAGAGTCATAAATCCCACTTCCTCTTCACGGACCCTAACTCTCTCACCTCACCTACAGCCAATCAGAAACTTGTGCAAGAGCTGATCA